TATTTGAAAATAATCGATCAAATAATTATAGTGCAAGTATATGCCTTCGCCTGTAAAGTTCATTGGTTCATTTTTTAAGTATAAAAATATTATACAGCATTAAAATAACATAAAAACTTATTTCCTACATGGATAATTCGCTAGTTAAAATTGAAATAAGCCAAGCAGTTTTTTTATTTTTTTTTTTTTTATCTTTGGGTGTGCAGGTCCTTGCCGATTCGTGTGCGTTAATATGAATATCCCAGTAAAAACGTATTACGTATCTACAGCCTGTAAGGAAGACAAGTTTCTACTTTTATCTAAGTCCATCCTGTAGAATCTCCGAAATCGTAAAACATACCTATCAATTTTTAGTATTGCAAAATAATCGACAATCAACTTTACAACAGATAAAATTAAATATTCTTTTTTTAGTTGAGAGACAAACGTAGTGAACACACGATGTAGGCCTGCTCGAAAGAGAAAACAAAAACGACACGTGTTATTTAAAAACGAGTTGAGAAAAATACAGTAAGAGGAATGAGGAGAGAGTTCGAGGAATTAGAAAGAACATAGAACCACTGATTAGAACTCAGAATGATATATGACAGTGCGTCAACAATGAAAGCAATACGATACAAGATTCTGGATGGATGAATAGTTTGAAGAAGGAACAATATAACAGGACATATCTACATTTGAAATGCAAGAGTTGACGTTATGATTGAGAGGCCTGTCCTATACAAGAAGCCAACAAGAGCTTTCGTTGTCATTTCCATATCGCCAATCGTCTAAATGTCTAAATAATAGGGGAGGCGTTAATAATTAGACATTTCTAATTTTAAGGAAGGACCAGGAAACGGATTATTAACTCCTGAGCTCAATATAGACAATCTTTTCAGCCAGATTGAGAGGGTGGCGTTCATAAAACTTCGGATTTCAAACAAATAAGAATCCTATCCAACATCAAGTTAAATTATTAGGCATTGAAGTTTTCAAAAGAGGTTCGAAGATGTCCATTATGTGTTTAGTCCTTTTGACCCTTGGTCTAAAAACCTATAGTCTTAGCTTGGACGTGCTTGGAGGTAGGCAAACTTTAATGAATTCGTGTTTACAGGAATTTGATTACCTACAACGGCAACAACAATTAGGTGGGAAGCACTTTCAACAATGAATTTCTAATGTTAGGAGACCTTGAAACTAACTCTCCATCAAATTTGATGCGAAAGATAGTAGTAGATTTCAAACAGTAACCTTTATTATAGAGTAAGGAAAGTGCACAAAATAGCCAGAAAGTCTATAACCAAGAGTTGTAGAGAGGTACAGCGATAAATACTGTGATATGAAAGCTGGAGGGTACACCACAGTATCCTCCTTGCTATAAAAGACAGAGTTCATCTGTCCTCGCGGACTTCTTCAGATGAGAGGGAAAACTCACGCACAGTACCGATAGAAGCATAAACTTTGTGAGTACAGTAGTAGTAGTATATAACCAGGCTCACGTAGTACGCGAGTAAGGCAGGCTCACATGTTGGTAAGTTAAGGCAGGCGCGGCATCGTTTGAACAAGTGACACCATTATTGATAGCTGCTTTCACTGGTTGAGACTGGACGTTCAGCAGATTTGAACCAGTTTGTCTCATCTGCGGCTCTGAACTAGTTTGAGCTCTCTGTAATCCACACATCTGCATACTTTCGTTGGCTTGTACACTCTTATATCACGTCACGATAAGCCTTGGAGGGGGTAAAACTACTAGCTCAGTGAATAGTTAAGTCATGAGTCCGTCATTCGTCTTACGGCAGAAGAATGTAAATATGACAAGTGAAATAAAAATATGAGCGGCATAGACTTTCTACCAAGTTACTTTTACTTTTTCTTGAAATGCCACTTCAGTGATTTAGTTGCGATAACTGAGAAAGCCGAATTCAGCAAACACAAAATTCTGTGTTGGCTGGCTGGGATCGACAGGAATTGATAGTATTTCTAGAAAAGTTTATCCGCTGACTAGACCAACACACTGCCCACTTGCTGTTGTTACAATTCTTTTTACTCTTCAAGGAGTAATAGAAATCTTCGGATATTCCCTTTTTGAGTCCCAAAAAAGAGAAACATACTAACACACACTATAGACTTATTGTTCCCTCAGATAAATCTTAAATTTAGATATAACCAAGACACCTCTCATAGCGCGTCTCGTAGCTCATAAAATCCTTGCTGGAAAGAAGCTGGCGTTCCAATTATACGTAAGGTTATAGAGATGGAGATGAAGATGTAGTAGATCATTTTTACGACTTTACCACATCAATGTTGTGTAATGGGTGAATGGATGCAATGACACCTTTGTTACTGACTAATATCAGCTGTTTCTTAGCCTGGATAATTTCAATAGCCCAAATGTTCAAGGACTGCTGGGTTCATTTTTAAACCAAAGGCTTATGGGATCAAACTGGAAACCTGCTCCTACAACCAAACGAGCGTTAAATCCACTCAGCTGGGTGCTGAAACGTGCAATTGATTAAAATTAAAGTAATTAAATTGATTTTAGATAACCTGTTTTGATCTCTATTGATAATATCTAATGTTTTTCTAAAATATGTTGAAAAGCATGAAAACTGGCAGGAGAATATGGAATGAATTCCACTATTAAAAACAATTAAGTGTTGTTGTGCTGAGTGTTGAGTATGCATAGCCTCCTCTAACGGAATAAAAAATGAGGGAACTATTTGCGGATAACAGTTTTCTCCTTGAACATCGTACATTGAACTAGTTGTTTAGACTGAAGATGAGACTTGTCTTTATCCCCAATACAGTAATGATGTTCCCACAAACTAGCCTAGTTACTCTAGATTTATGTATCCGTCTTTAGTCCTGGGAGCGAGTGAGGTACAGTTGAAAGATTATTTTGATTTGTGGCGGTTTCACCGTAGGCTATATGAGCATATTTTTTTTTAAAATAGGGTGTAAACCCCAGATAATCATTAAGTGTGTAAGTTTAAAAGTGATATGCTACCCATAAACAAAAACCTCCTCTAATAAGGCCGCGGTGTTGGTGCGTGACAACAGCCGTGCTATTGTCATGGTAATATAACAGTAATTTAGTAATTAATTAACAAACGTGTAAACATAAACATTGCGCATATGCTACATTGTGAATTACGTAGTGCAACAGCTGTTTTGCTAGGCCGGGACTGCAACGTTGCCACTTTTGTCTCGCCCCGGCCTTGTATTGGGTTTTTGTATTTTGCCAATTTGGGAATTTTATTGGTATAATAGTTCAGTAAAATTCATTATTTTTTTAAGTTCCTGCCACATTGGTTTGCATTTACTATCAACTTACTCGTTTTTTAACCGCATTTCGTCTCAATGTACGGTATGTAAATTATTAAATAAAAAACTATTAAATAAATAAATGGTATCGGCAATCTGACACATACTTTCTCCCATTAGGGTGGTAACAACCTTTATCATGGGTAAGCGATGAGAGTACTATGATATTTAATAGGTAAAATCACACACAAGATTTGTATGTAAAATGTTAAACTCACCTTTGGGCCAGGGCGTAGACAAATTCTATTTGTCTATGGTCGGGGTGTCTGATCTGTATTCTTGGAAATTTACCAAGCCTTTTTTGTGTATGGTAAGTGAAAACGATATACATAACACATAGGTTTTAACTGTAAATTAAAATTGCTATATCATTAGTTTTAAGTAGCTAACATTTTGTTTAATCTTTATACACATTTTAATAGTACGCATGTAAAAACAAAATAAATATACTACAGCCCAAAAACTAAAACGTCTATGGCAGCAATCCGGTTGCATATATTTGTAAAATCGTGTAAACATATTTTCAAAACAAAAGGGAATTTTCATTGAGATCAGTACCTACTTAATAAAAATAACATTTACTTGACGTATAGGATACTTATATTTGATGCTACAAGGAACACAGAATGAAAATTTTAACAAAATTTTGAAAACATTAAATTATACAAAAATATTTGCGAAAATGTATGAATAATACCGTACAACAATAAACAAACAAGGATTCATTTAAGCTTCGTATGGATTGTGTGGCAACCATAGAGTTTCTTTAGTAAATATTGCTAACCAACTATGTGGAATACAAATGTAAAGTACTAAATTAACCGTCTTTTTTAAATAATTTCAATAGTGAACAAACGTTTTTCAAACCATTTTAAAATGGTAAGCTGAAGTTAAAGAGCCTAATTCAAAAAGATATTTTTAAAATCGTCTATCCATGATTGGGTGAGAAATTTTTGGGAAGATTTACGAACTCACATGTATAAATAAAATATACAACAACGTATATAACACATTGTTACACATACACATTTTAAAACACCACATCGCTCTTGTGGACCATACAACGAGAAAATACAGTCTTCAAACACCTAACCATAAAAACTACGATGATAGCTTATTCCCTATAGGAAAGTTAGCTAAAAAAAATAATAAAAATATAAACTCAAAATAAACATTTAGTTACTGAAGAAGCGGCATGGAGTGAAAGAGAGGGAACGTCTGGAGAAAGGGGAGTATAAGAGACGCTGATGACCTACTTGCCTTTTAGTAGTGAGACCTTGAACCTGACAACAACCGTCACTACCCATCACCATGCAGGTAAGGTGTGAACCTTGATAACAAGTACCTTGATTGTAAACTTATAATTTAGTATAACTATCGAGGATCATCTAAAAACCTTGATGGCGAGAGTGAGGCCTTGAACCTGACAACAACCGTCACTACCCATCACCATGCAGGTAAGGTGTGAACCTTGATAACAAGTACCTTGATTGTAAATTTATAATTTAGTATAACTATCTACGATCATCTAAAACCTTGATGGCGAGAGTGAGACCTTGAACCTGACAACAACCGTCACTATCCATCACCATGCAGGTAAGGTGTGAACCTTGATAACAAGTACCTTGATTGTAAACTCATAATTTAGTATAACTATCGAGGATCATGTAAAAACCTTGATGGCGAGAGTGAGACCTTGAACCTGACAACAACCGTCACTACCCATCACCATGCAGGTAAGGTGTGAACCTTGATAACAAGTACCTTTTATTGTAAATTTATAATTTAGTATAACTATCGAGGATCATCTAAAACCTTGATGGAAAAAGTGAGACCTTGAACCTGACAACAACCGTCACTATCCATCACCATGCAGGTAAGGTGTGAACCTTGATAACAAGTACCTTGATTGTAAAATTTATAATTTAGTATCACTATAACTATGGATCACCTACAAACCTTGATAACAAGGAGTTTTTTTAATAGTGAGACCTTGAATCTGTCAACAACCCTCACTGTACACCACCATGCAGGTAAGGTGCAAACCTTGATAACAAGTAGTACCATTAAAGAAAATTTTTAATTTAGTATAATTATTAAGGATCATCTAAAAACCTTGATAGTAAGATTTTTCTTCTAGTAGTGAGGCCTTACGGTTGTTCCATCACCAAGCTGGTTGGGTGTGAACCTTTATAACAAGTACCTTTATTGCAAATGTATAGATATTTTAGTTTTACTACAAAGCATAGTTTAAAAAAACCTTTAAAGCAAGAGTGTTTTTTGTAATAGTGAGACATTGGTACTGACAACAACCTTAACTATCCATCACCATGCAGGTAAGGTGCAAACCTCGATAACAAGTACCTTGAATGTAAATTTATAAATCTTTTAGTTTTACTAATGAGCATTATCTAAAACCTTGATAGCAAGAGTCTTTGTAGTAGTGAGGCATTGAACCTGACAACAACATTCACCACCAATCACCATGCAAAATTAATAATCAATCAAGGGGTTTTCAACTTGATAACAAAGACCTTTGATTGTAAATGCATACAATTTTTTTAAATATATCCTACTTAAAAAGAAACCTCTTTTACTTAACCTTAGAAAGTTTTTTTGTATCATCCCTTGAGACAGGTTGAACAGTAAAACACTTTTTGCAAGCATAAAAAACATTAGTGATAGTGGTTTAAATACTTAAATACTTTACTCTAACAATCGGATTGCAAGAATAAGGTATTTAAACCACTATCACTATTTATTATTCGCAATCCGGAGGCTACTCACACCACAATGAACATAAAAACACCTTTGTAGCAAAATCCTTTTGAAAGTTTGAAGATTTATATTTTACTAGATGCTCTAAAATTCTAGTCTTAAATTGAAAATATTACTACGTAGTTTAGCAATTTACTTTTGGGACAATATGTATACGCACTTTCAATAGATTCAATATAGATTCAATAAGAGATTCAAATATAGATAGATATAGATGGATTCAATATGGATTCAATTCATGACTTATTCCTGTCTCGATCCCATGGCTAAATAACCCATAAGCTTACGAAAATTATTTTATTTTATTGAATGGTAAAACCAAATTACAAGGTACGACACGCATAATTAAAAAATACTTTGACAGCAATTTTGATTACAACTTCAAATTATGTATTTTGTATGAGTAGTACGTGTTTTATCCCGGAAACTACCGGTTAATTATTGTAGTTCTACCATCGAAAAGTTATACCAAAACTATTATTTTTAACTAAAAGTTGTTGTAACGGACTTTTTATTATACTCAGTCGTCCATGCCCTTTTGCAAAGCTTTGGTAAAGCTACTATTAGAAATTACTATTAAAAATCAGTTTCTTTAACTATATTTCATGGTTTTGTTAGTAATGATCATCGATGTATAATAACTCCCGATGTAGAGTTATTATACATCGATGGTTATTATACTCGACTCGACATTTTAAATCACTTGTTGACTTGCCAGTTCATCAACATTGTTGACCGTGCCTTCAACTGGCCTCCCGCAATATTAGTAGTGGAACCTTGATAAGAAGACCCTCGATAACAAGTGGCCCTTGATAACAAGTGTCATTTTCAAATCCCCTTAAAATTATTTTACCCCTAATCGCATGTTATTAAAAACCTCGATAAGAAGTCAACTTGATGACAAGTCTTATTTTACAATCCCCATGAGAGTCTCGTTATCAAGTTTCTACTGTACAAAGTGTTCGCAATACAGTTGTATATAGAAAGAGATTTTTATTGACTCTCGACTGTCCCTCTCTGTAGACTATAGATAAACAGTTTATTTTCAATGTATTACTTATAGAAACAATTAGTTTTAAACTTATTATTCTTGGAAATACTTTTTAAAAGAACTTTGTAATTGAGTCGGTATGCTACTGCATTACATATTTCAGGTTCCGTTCAGAGGTAATAAAAGTTATGTACATAAAATAGGTTAAAAATTATTTTTATAAAACATTAAAACATTGAGTTTTGTTAAAAAAAACGTTTTTATGAATACCGTACTGCTGCTGGCAGGTACGTCTGGTATACTTTGGTACAGTTTCGTCATTTTCAAAAGGTTTACTGTTAACAAAATGTACAGATATTATTTTATTGTTTTCACAGAACTTTAACCATTCTGTTCATCCGATATAATCGATTTTTTTCTGTGCTTTATTATTATGACTGCAGCTAGATTTATAATATTACTAATGGAGTAAGTGAAACCATTTCAAAAAAATTTTCCTATTTCTGTCAGTATCTTTTCGCAGCCTAGTAACGTTACGTTACCCATGTTTAATGACACAATAAATTAATTGGTTAGTTGGTCTTTAAAAGCTAGTTTACCATGGATAAGGATTAAATCGTTAGTAAATAAATCTTTACTTACGATTGATTGTAGTACTGAAGTTATTTTCTATTATCAATAATTTTATTAACACAAGTAATACCATATTGTGATATTAGCAGAGGGTAAACGTGCATAAAACTAGATACATAACTATTTGTGTTGTTTTAAATTTCTAAAATATAAATTTGTCCCTCTCAAGCTTTAAACTATAGATATAGATTAAACGTTGGGCTTATACTCCACACATCTTGGGTTAGTCTATGCTTTAACTTAAGTCAAATAACCCATTTGGCTTTCTATTGACGTGACACTAAGTATTTAATGTCAAATGTATTCACAAAGCACCATAATTAAGAAAATAAATCAAGTATCAAGTGGTAATTGAAGACTTGATACTACTGGATTAGCGTCAAATTGTCCTTGAACATCCAATGTCGCAGCAATCGAGCAAACGCCACAGCCACACTTATTAGGAAGGAGGAGAAACGGCGACGTGATTTGGTTGGAGATGGCAGTGTTGTAGTTTGTATTTGTAGTAGACACTGGCACACTTACCACCACTTACCACTTACTTCCACCATAGATAAAACATACTCTTCCACCGACGAAGAGTTGGAAGTGTAACCAATAAATAAATCAACTGTTCATCAAAAAAATGAATGGGTCTAAAAGTAAACCTACGCTATCAATGGAATTTTAGCCTAAAAAGATGTACTTCAAACTCTCCATTAATTTTAGATTGGACATTACCTATACGGGTTTTATTTCGTAAAGGATTTCGTAAAGGAAACGGGTAGTAAAATTGATAAATGAAAAGAAAATTATATATATTGATTTCTAATTGACAAATATTACTTGGGTGAATAGTATATAGTAAAATTATTTCCTAAAGAAAATTTTATTATCCCTACTGAAATGAAATGAAATTTCTTTCGTACTCCTCACGCGTAGCCTACCCCTACGCAGTTCACGTGAAGACTAAGTAAACAAACGTCAATATTTCAAAACCATTTTGTAAGAGGTTTTTACAGTACATTATTACAATGCCTTTAGAAGAGGGATTTTTCTCCAAGAAAAGTCCTCAAAGCTGTGGACGTATGCGTTGAAGGTGTGCTACACAAAACGTCGGATCACGGCAATAATTAACCAAACCTGATAAAAAATATTATTCGTGTTGATTATGTTTTGGGTATTTAATCATCGTAAGTGAAGTGTCTTGATATCACATTTCGTTTTGATAAAGACATTATCAAAGAACTCGCACACTGAGGTTTACGAGATTTGAACCCTGGGCGAACAGAAGTCCCGCGCTCTATAGGCCGCGCTTTATAGTTTACATGCCCCATGGTGGAAGTAAGTCTTCCACCATGTATATGCCCTGCCCGTGAGATGTCAATAAGATTTAACTTGTTCTGGTAGCCGCTTTATTCCGCACGACACTCGCACTTTCGCCGGTCGACTTGAGGAACCGGTCCATTCCATCGTTCCTTCTGTCGCCCGACGTTCCGATTCTACGATTCCAGCTGACACGGATAGACAAAGACGTCCTGTTTTTTCTCCATCTATCACCGTTGTTGACCTCAAGACGACAGTCACGTGACAAACTTGTCTCGAGTCTCGAGTCTCGGGTCGTGCTAGGAAGTGAAACTACAGTCGTCAGTGGAACTCGTTAATAACAATCATCATTGGGTAGACAGATTGTCTTTACAATTGATGAATTAACAGTCTGTCAAGGGCATCGTCAGGATATTTTTTGTAGGGGGGGGGGGGGGTGAGTCAGATTAATCTTATGTATTTAACTATCTGATAAACTAAAATATAGGATGCACTTTTTTGGATCTTGTGATCAAAATATTTATCAAGAAAGATTTTAATTCACAATGATTGAAAAAAAAAAAAGTTTGTTTAGGGTCTTTGGTCACCTCTGCTGCCTTTCCCAAAGCAATCTACAAGTGCCTGACGAGTCTAACACTAATCGTAGACAATATTGTACATTAATTATTCTTACTTTGCAGGCCTGTCTTTGCATTGTCGTGTTTGGAACAGTCCTTTTGGCCTCAACAGACGCTGGGTACTACAAGCGCCCTCCTCCTCCCAGCAAGTTGCACTACCTTCCCAAACCACCTCACCATCTTTACAACAAACCAAACTTTCACTCCTATCGTCCCGCACCCATCCACGCCCCTCGCAACCCCATCAGACCTCCTCCTCGTCCTTACATACACAAGCCGACTCCACCTTCGCCTCCACCCTTTCCGCCAGTCTCTTGGAAGTCTCACAACAACTTCCGGGCCCCAGTGGTAAAGGAGCAGTTCCTTTCTTCTCCTCTATCTTTCACGCCCGAGGTCACACAGCATTTCCTTCAGGATGATGATAAAGGACCCATCCACACCATTCCGGCACCCAACCTGAGCCCGGCAGACAAGCCACCTAACTTTGACCAAGAGCAGCACAACCCAGCACTGAATGCTGTGCTCAAGCATGCGGCTGAAGCAGTCAGAGCCAAACCTACCACATACCAGGTATGGTTGTTTGATCAAATTTATTTGTAATACGTATTACAATAAAGATTTGGATCTTTATCTTTTTACAATAATTATCTTTATAATAATATCTTTATCTTTTTTTTTTTGGAGATTTGGATTTGGATCTCTGATTTGGATGACATTGTGTCATCCAATATTTTGATGTTATTTTGTTATTTGAAAAGAAATTTCAATTTTGACAAAAGGACATTAATTAAGGCAGATTATATCTCTTTAAAGTGCTTATATCTATTTTACTCTAGCATGGGAGCAGGGCCAGGTGGCTGTGGTGATGGTAGTAAGTCAGCTGGGTCGCTGAGTGGTTATAGTGCTCACCTAACAATCAACAGGTAGCCAGTTTGATCCTAAGTAAAGGTCTATAGCTTTTTGGTGGTTCACAAACTGGGTCAAGCTAACCTTGATAATTGTGCTTAATAATTCAATGGATGGGCGTAGAAAACAGCTGATCGTGGTTAGTAACAAAGCTAGTTCATTCATTCTACATTGATCTTGCATCCCTAAGCAGATTAAAATACACCCCTTGATTGTGATGATACCTCAAAAGTAATAGTGATAAGAGATATCTTAAGATAATTTTTCATCTCTTAAGTACAGTTCAACACTAAGTTACACTAAGGGTTAAGTACAGTTAATTGAACTGTACTTAACATTCTAACCGAAAAGCTTTTCTATATTTTTTAGTACCTATAACCTCAAGTAATGTTGTTTCTTGCTATTTATTTTACAACACGTATTAAATTTCTTTAGGTAACTGAGGATCCAAGTGTCTACAAGCCGTTCTCTGGAACCTCCAGCTACTTCGCCCCCGACCCTGACCCCAGTCTGCCTACCATAGAGGTGCCTCAGACCAAGGACCCTTACTCTGTACCCAGCAATGGAGTCACACCCTTGGACCTGTACCAACAACAGGTAGCAGATCAGCAGGGGCAACAATATACTGATGGTGAGTATGGTCATTGATAGAAATAGACATCGCGTTCCTAGGTCTACGTTCAAGTCGTAAACAGTTTTAGATTAATTAACGTACGTTGTTGAATTGAGTGTAGAGTGTATTATCAATTATCAATTATCAATCATTAAGATGGGTACGCCACTTAGGTGCGTATTTTAACCTAAATATGAGTGAAGGATGAGTGTAGAATGGTGTGAGATGTACCTACAGAGTGCACTGATGTCAAGTACTAACTTCTGTCTTTCAAATCAAAGCAAACTAAACTGAAGTGACAATAACTTATTATGAACTATAGCATCTTCTACAGAAAACAACACTTTTTGTCTCCTACAGCATTGAAAATAAAAATATTAGGAAAGAATTTAATTTTGACAGTAGCGCATTTAGTGAGTGTTCTTTTAACTATTTTGTAATTGAAAAAAAAAATGGCTAGAGCTGGTCCATAGATGAGCATGAGATCGAGATCTCTAATTCAGAATCCAAAAGTCAGCGATAGAAGAGGAACATTTATAAGTGAGTTGAGAGGTCTGACTTTCTATTTGCTCTACTTGGAGTATTAAAAGGTTTATCAGAAATTTCTAACTTTGAAAAAGGTTTCAATTTTGTAAAACTCAAGTCATGTTAATTCCACATATAGTAGAACCATGATAACAAGACTCATATGAGTTAAGACTTGTTGTCAACGTTGACTTCTTATCGAGGTTTGCAATAACATTGTGATTAGGGGTGAAAAACATGCTGAAACCCCTTGGGCTGTAGGTCTGCCCCTCCTACAATAAACACAATACGGGGTAAAATAAATTTGATGGAGAAGAGAAGAAGAATTCTAGGTGATTTGAAAATGATACTTGTTTTCAAAGGTGACTTGTTATCTAGGGTCTTCTTATCGAGATACAGTAACTGTATTTTTAAACAATTTTAAATTTCTGATTTCTTACTTGGAAAATATTTGGTTTAATTGTTCAGTTACTTGTGGTAGAATGAGGAAAAAATACAACTAATAATATTTTTATCAATATTAATTTTACGGTGTTTCTGATCATATCCTTAGGCACCAAATAGTATTTTTATCCATAGTTACAGGCAACTAGGTATCTTAAAACTTAAAAACATATCACGTAAAGTGTACACTTTACGACCCTGACCTTTAGAACAAGCCTGACAAAACGGTAGTTTTCCCTCCAGAAAGTTTTGTTGGGTGACATGCAGCCTGATGGGAGACAGTGATGGTCAAAACAACCTGCTCCTGACATTTAGAACTTTCGCTGAGACTCCAGCCCACATTTTATTCAGACCACTTTCACTAAATTATAGGTAGTAATCTTGGCTATGTCCTTGAACAGTGATACTTAGTTTCAAGGGCATGTTGAGAATGTTGGAATTACTGTAATATTGCTATCTACGTTTATGAAGTAAATTGTATAATGTAGTATGTATTTATATAGGTTTGTTCTTCATGCTATGCATTACAAAGCTGTCCATCCACTTACTGTGACATTTTGGAAATCATTCTATGCCATGATGAGTTGATTTCTGCCTTATTACAAATATTAAAATATGCCCCTGATATATTCTAGTTGCCTTTTCAAACTTGTGAGCATGATTTTATTGATGAATTTAAATCTTGACCTGAATGAAAATAACCATACTTGCTTTGATTCGTTTTGACAATTTATTTATTTTACATTACTAACATAAACAACCACCAATTTGTTTAAATACTTTTAACAAATTTTAAATAGTTTCTCATGCATCCGGTTTCACTCTTTGTTATGGAATTTTGCCTAGAGATTAGTTTTCATCTAAAAGAATATATCTTTGGTCATTTGAGGCAAATAAACAGACTGTGATCAAATTTAAATTTGTAACAAAGATTTTAAAAAGGTAAGTGTCCAATGGAAGGAGAGAGTGCTCTTGCACTCAGGACTCAGCTGTTTTGAAGGTGCAACTTGATTTTCAGTTGTCTAACTCTGTATTTATCTTCTGAACTTTAACTTGATATCAATATTTGAAAAAGTTATAAAAAACTGGCAATCAGTCGTCAGTTTTTTAGCTGTGCACGTGCTTTTAATGTTTTTCTGTCATGTTTTGTGCTGTATTATTTATTAAACTTTGACGCAATGAATTTGTAAAAATCCCATAAAAAATGTAGATAGTGATTTAGTTTAGTGTACGACTAAGCACTTGACAATGGAGTTAATATCTCCGAAACGGCCGTAGTGCTATAGCTAATCAGGACTGAGAAGACTGTAAGTAGCCTATATATATATTTCAATTCTTTACGCCAGTGAAATCGCAAACGCTATCAGTAATGCTGCTCCAACTGTCTGTTCAGGATCTGTAAGTGGCAGCACGCTGAGTCCTCACGACCTGTATCAGCTGCTACATAATGCTCAACAACACCAACAGCAACAACAACAACAACAACAACAACAACAGATGACACCTCAGTTGTACCAGCAGTATCTACAAGCTGCCTCAGCACACCAGCCAGCAACCAGTGAAGTCTTTCAGCAGGTGTTTCAAACTGGACTACTTTACCCACATTATCAACAACAGGTAATGCTATGGCCATCAAGGGTCAATACAAATGATTTAGTTTTAAATTTATTAACCTAAAATATTTGTATTTATGTGTCTGATCAATGTTTTTCTTTCTTCATCTGAAATGATGCTTTGCAGCTTTTTTAGTTCATTGGTGTTCAGTCTTCCTATTATCTATTATCAGATTTTTACCATTCTTCAAGAACAAATACATTGATAGACAACCCATGTTTTTCGTCAACAATAGTGAGCCATGTCACACTGGATATTTTACGACTATGCCACTGGTTGGAAAGTAACTAAAACATAACTACATTACAACACTTACCTAGCCAATATTGGAAAATCACTATAGAAAACCCACACAGAGAATTGTTTGATAGTAATAAAAAAAAACTGTAACAAAATTATTATTGTTTTCAAACAATAAAAAATGCATATTCCATGAGTAAATTCTAAGTTCAACTAGTAAATCTATGTCTTGTCACTTATTTGATTGTTTTTTTTTTTAATATTGAACTGACTCCACCAGCATCTTAATAGTAGTTTACGCAACAATTGCACGACAGGAGTAGAAAATTTAAAGTACGAGCCTTGGCGAGTGCTAAACACTAATCGCACCACTCAACAATTAAATTGGCCTGAGCAGCTGATAAGTTGAAGTTTGAATCATTACAATTTTACTTATTCTATCTTTGAACCTCATTGAAAGTTACCCGTGTTGTTATGAGTAAAACTATGCTGTTATGAAAGTAAACAAAACAATGCTGTTATGTGAAACTTTTCAATTCTAAGAACTGAACTAAAACGGCTGCTTTAAAAACGGTCGTAGGTAAAACTATTAACACTAAATTTCTGTGATTCTTTAATATAATCAAGAAATAATATTTTACAATTACTATTACAGGTGACTCACTTCTCTCCACAAAACTTCCATCCACAGTTTGAGAACTTCAACTACAACGAGCAAACGCAAGAGAGCGCCCACGGCTCCGACAGTTTTCCATCCGCCTCCTCAATCAATGTTGGTGTAAAGCGAGCAGTCAACAAGGACACTGGTTCGGGAAACAGCGCCAACAGCATCAAAGACTATCTGGACAAGACACAAGTAGAGTCTAATGAAGTGGGAGTCATCAGCAACCAGGTGGACTATGAAGACGAAGACAGTACAGAGACCATCGAGAAGGAAACTTTCCCAAACTTGAGAAATGTTTATTACACGTCTCTACCAAACAAACAAACAGCAGACGCTCTAGCAACTCTAGCAGCTGCCGGTAGCATCAACCATCAGATGTCAATAGGTCCAGGCAACATCCAAGCGAGAGAAGAAGAAATGAGGAAACAGAAGATGAGGGAAGAAGAGTTGAGAGCTGAAGAAGAAAGGAAACGGCAGATAATCAGACATGAAGAAAAAGAGAGAGCGAATGAAATCAGGTATTACGAGGAGCAGAGAGAACAAAGCAGAAATCAAGAAATGCAAGAGCAACAAAATAGACAGGTTTTCAAAGATACAAGCGACAAGCAAAATTTTAGAAATCAAGATGAAAGGGAACCACAAAAGAGCGGTAAAGAAAACCAACAAGTCTTCACAGGTTCTGATTACAGTGAGGAGGAAATAATGGAAACTTCAGATAAAGACCAAAGAAATACCAACAGTCACATGCCAATAATTTCTATGAGACCGTTTGATGGATCCTATAGAGAGGGAGCTGACAAAGAATCACAAACGGAAGAGCAAAGTTACGAGGATTCTGATGCTGACTATTCACAAGAAGAGGTTAAAGAGATTAACAACGCAAACAAAATGACTCAACCTCCACCAACTGAAAAAACTGTCAACTACAACTCTCATCAAAACCAACTTCCGTTCGGTGCCAAATTAAGACCAAAACGAGTTTAGAAATATTTTATGAGTTTTGTACAGTACCTAGCATTTTATTTATTTATTTTTTAGCTACGTGTGTGTGATGAATCGAAAAGTGTTGTCCTGTTCTGAAAGAGGGATATTTCTACTGTACATATTGTAATTAAGTAATCATGAATAAGATTGGAGTTCCCCAGATATTTTATGTAGGCCTACATTAATTAATAATGTAAATTTTTACAATGCTATTTATTACACTCCACAGCACACCAAACATAAAATAAAACTTTACGCAGATTGTGTGTTGTGGATATAATATTTTTGTATACTGTAGTGATAAAATAAATTATTTTTTATAACTATTTTAAATGGAGAGTCTTGTTTCCTTGGATAAGAATCTTCTAAAAATGAATTTAAACTCAACAAAATTTTAAACCAACTGACCATCATTTACCACAAAACGTCCCTTGCTAAGTGCAGATACTTAGTAGGGTTTGTAAGTTAGGCAAAAGGGTATTACATTTTAATTTCTTCACTAATTTAAATACTATTACACAAAATGTGTACAAGCGGTTCCAGGTTCCTTTCCTGGCCTTCCAAGATAGGTAAGTCCCATAAGCCAAATCAGGTTCAAACCACTTATGGTTTATACAGAAGATAAGAAAAAGAAAGTGTTTTCATTCGGGGCCTTCCCAGAAATCCAAATGAGACAAGTCTAATTGGGATGTCAATGAAATAACAGGATTCAATGAAATCACACATCCAGCTATCCTAATAATTATAAACTTTATTAACACTGAAATGGCCAGTACATATGTGCACTTCGAACGCAGAAGGCACAGTTTCACTAACAATGACTACACATAACTGAAGCACCTTCAACAGAAAACATCTGTGAGAGTATCATGTGTTATATAATTTTCAGACATTAACATTACATAACCTCACAACATTACAGTCTAAACGAATACATACAATAGGATATAACATTTGATTCTGCCACCAATTAAGACAACCACAAGCCTAACTAATTTAAACACTTAAAACATCCTTAAAATGGAATAAAACAAGAAATTTGAATCAAAATTACTCATACTGGATTTTACTAACAAGAACAAAATGTTTTTTAAATGCAATCAACTTTGTAACAGCTATATTATAGAAAAAGGAAACAAGGTTTTCACAAACTATAACTCCACAAAAATTAAAAATAAGAGGAGGAAGAACAAAATACCATAGTTTATAACAGAAGCTTGTCCTTAATCATAGGGCTTTTAATAATTAGATCAGCTGTTTTATTAGTCACGGCCATTAATTATTAATGAAACAGCTGATCTAAGCCAGCAACAAAGCAGTACCGATCATCTTTCTCTATTCCACACTCATCTTGCATTCATATATAAATGCGTACACAAGTCTTTCCATGTAAAATAAAAAGTTCCGATTAAATATTAAATGTAAAGTTAAACAAAAAACCATTATCGATGAGGTAGATCTAGCATTTAAGTGACATTGATATTTTGATTGCATACCTTTGTTTATTGTAAAACCAGGTAAAAACTAAGAAAAGGTTATAAAAATACATCTTTGATGCTAGCTGCAGTGACACATATGTGGAAGTACAAAAATATTCCTACTGTATACTGTGTGCGGAAGGATCCCAGGATTTAAGGATCTACTTGTCCTTGACTTCTGGGTTGTCCTTGTAAATCCTCAGGTTGAGGGCGGTGGCGAGACCCAGCCAAGCGAGGTAAGGTAGCATGATGTAGCCGGCAGTGGGGTGGACCTTGTAGAAGAGGATGGTTGTTCCTACAGCAGCAATATCCAGCAGTGTGATGTCAATCAGACCCTATAACAAAAGTTTTAACCAGTTACCAAAACATGTTGTGGAGAGAAGCAAACAGAACGCATGGATTTGACAAGACAAGATCAAATGGAATCACAGCAGCGATCCTATGTGAGGCCAGGGAGTGTTGAGCGAAGTCTAAATGTCGCAACGTCCAATGATATAAGTCAATGTCACGGCGTACAAAATATAATTTTTACCTTGCTTACAACGTCCAATATAAACTATTCGACTGTTACACGTAGTCAAAATCTCATCATGTCCAAGAGTAGGCCTACAGTAACTGAAAAAACATAATCTTTCTGTTTCTACAAGCTTTGGACGTCATGGCATTGGTCGTCGGTCAACAGCATACTTAATACTCTTAAAACCTTAACAAGAAGCTAAACAACATCATTTTTGAAGTTGGTTCAATAATGAGTATTATTGTATTTTTTTTGGCACCACACCCTCGAAAGCCGCTGCCAGTTGCACAACATCCAATAGCTCAGTGCTGTTGCAGAACGTCCAGAGCTCCTGCATATGGAACAAGGTTAGATTAGTTTAGCTTAAGTTAGGTTAGGGGTTAGTATGCACTACAGACGTTGAAACAATCCTCAGAGTGTGCAGGCGCTCTGGACGTCGTAGGACAGCGCTTACAGTTATTGGACGTGTTGCAACTGCTACTATTTTAAGAGTGTATAATGGCCCTGTTTCTTGACCACCAATCGATATCCAAAGCTTGTAGAAATACTATGTTTATAGTGGTTACTGTACTTTTGGACATGGTGAGATTTGGACGCCGTACAACAGCTCAAAAGTTATATTTCGGACGATGTGTCACTGACTTGTCTTTGGACGCCGTGCAATGCATCCAATAGCCACCAATCTGTTATAAAGAGTACAGATTCATGATAATCAATGGAAAATGGAAATCAATTATATACATCATAGGGTTGTTATGTAGCATAAGAACAATGAGTAAACAAACATGTTTTGCTACTGCAATAACCATACTATTTAATGGCAATTTAAGTTCCAGACTAACTTAATATACATATTGAAGTTTTAATTAACTAAGACGGTTTATTATAAATGTAATTCACAAGAATTTTGAAAAGTTGAATGTATGTGTATTTTAAGAATTAACTATTTACTTGTTAAAATTATCAACATATTCAAAATTAACTGCAGGAATATTGAAGACATTAAATTTTAAAAATCCCTAGGGATATAATTATAGCATATGTTAAGGAAATAATTTTGAAATGATTTTTGTAGATTGATTTCATGAGATTGAACTGTAAATGTAACACGGTTAATTTTGAAGTGGCCTGAAAATCTGTCATTGACTAAATGATAACTTATCATATCACCGCAAAACAGGCAACAATAGACAACACGATAAGATTACAATTTACTATTTGGTATTTTCTAAAATTGTTTGTAACGGTGATTGGGGAAAAATGGCAAAATATCATAAAAATGTAATTTATTACTTAAATTAAGGCACCCTAATGCAGTTATCAAGGTATCAAAGTAAATGAGTAGCCTACAGATGATAAATCATCAGATAATAAATCTTTACAACTTAATAATTGTGGATCACATAAGTTAGATCAATCTTTTGTTATCCCCCAATTCTTTATTTTGTTGAGGTGCATTGGTTATGTTTTAAACCAATCAAACACCCTCATTGTTAGTTTTCAATACATTTTTTAAAAACTACACTTTGTTAATTAAAAACCGTTTTAAGTCTGTAATTTTTATCCTCTAAAAATAAATTGGTCTTTACTAAAAAACATCGTTTTTTAAACACTTTTTTCTTTTCAATGAATGTTTGTTTAATCAATTCAGTGAGACTTTTTTATTGCATTTAATGTAAGGTTTTAAGCTTTAGTCAAACTGTACTGTAATGTGTTTGTGATAGCATATTTATACGGGATGTCCTGTAAGTAAACAGTCACACTCTGGGAAATGGTCTTATGGGTCAAAATAAAATAAAAGTCAAGAATTTTTCCAATTGTTAGCGAGTTATTCCCTATTTATTGTTTTGTTTTTTAGTACCATTCGTTCTTTCTTTAAAAAAAAAAAAAAAGTTGGCTGCCTCTTTTAACGTTATTTGCTTGTCCACATCGACTAATTGCCCGTGCGTGGAACGTATCCAGCAAAGCAAGGGGTGAGCCGGTACAGTACGAAGATGAACTGTACTGATAAAATGTTTGTGGCGGTGAACACAATCTGAACCCACAACATGGCTGCCTTGGGCCCGAAGCCCGCGACGCTACCGACTAACGAATCTAAAATCTTTCACTGACAAAGGTCCAAACAAGCTAGATTCTACAAGCTGGTGTCAAATTTACGTACGTATCCAAACAACTATTCAGTTTTAATCTACAATCACAAGTACTTACCCCTTTGATGGATTTCTGACCAAAAAATATCGGTGACCAGGCGAAGTTCAAAGCCAGCTGCGTACCATAAGCTGCTAGTGTCAACTGGTTTGATCCTGCAGTATAAAAATGAGTATTAGAATTTGATAAGGCTAATCCAGGCCCGCTTTGCAAGTGATGCACTGTAGTTCGTAGAGAAAACTGCGCCCCTCTTCACCTAACCTTGTGGGGGAATTTGTCTCCTCCTTGCCCCCCAAACAAAACCTATTGCACCCCAGGGCCCGTTTATTAAAGTGGCCCTGGGCTAGACATCATATTATTGCTTTCACATGCCTGATTTACATAGGTAATTTGTTTCTCTGCTTGTCAACCATTTTGTAACCAGATGTATTAAAACTTTTTTTATGGTAGCATAGCCTAATGATGACTGATAGGTAAATATTGAAAATTGTATATAAATCGGCTACCTACTTTTGGTAATTTACAGATTACACTTGGTTACTTGGTACACTTGGAACATATAAACATTTTGTGTCAAAACAAGTAGCTAAGAGTAACCTATGGATAACAGCATCAGGTATTTAAATTGCTATAATGGCCTTTTGCTCTTTTCTGAATTATTCATTTTTAAGGATCAATAGGTTAAAAGAAGGGTGATTAATTGTTTGGTTTAAGCCCAAATATATTACTCTAATGAAACCCCAAGTGAGGCCTTAAATTTAATGAAACGTGATAGTAGGCCTACTCCTACTGCTGTACATGGTTGTTGTTACTGGGCTATGTCCACCACAAAATGCACAGTGCAGCAAAATTTGGAATTTGTAATTAAAAAGCCTGAATTATATTTTGTAGTTCTTAGTTTAGACGACCCACCACTAAATCCACCGCCTTCTTTCCAGACCAAGTAAGAAGCGTATCCCATTCCAGCGTAGAGAGATGTCCAGACGATAGGGAAGGCTAGCCTTGGGGGCTTCCAGTCAGGCTTTTTCAGAGACTGCAAGAACAAATTAGGTTATAGTACGAACCTTTAAAACTATCCTGTTGAGGCATAATTGAGGGTTGAATTGCTTAATAGACAAATATAGACACTTATAGCCTAAATATTAGAACATCAACTTGAAATTCAATGGAATGATTTTATCTTAATCAAA